GGTTGGTAATTTACGTATAAATGCAAATGAAATGCATATAAATAAATTGTGTTTTGTTGAGAATTCAAGCAAGGTGGTACCTGCCATGAGAATTGTAGCTACACATGCAACAAACAGTAAAGTCACTTTCATTTCATGTGAATCAGAAAAAATTAAACATTTTTGTAGAAGTGTAAATTTCACATTATAAGTAGGTTAAAGTTACAATTATGTAATTTCATCCTTATTAATGTTTGCTGTTAGTAGCATATAGGCGTATATGTAAATGACAGGCATGTGTCTATGGTCAAAATAAGCCTGTGTATAATAAACTCAGTTTTTGGTTTATGAGAGCTTCTCTTAGAAATGCGCTTCCAACAGAACAAATACGGTATATGCTAATGAGCTCACCTGAATCTTTGTGACATTTTAGCTTCTCTCACATAGTCCACTTCCCATAACATTTCTCTGCGTGCGACTACGATGGCGTTTTCAGCATACATACCTAGTTATGACAAGTGCAAAATAATGGTGATATATACAGAATACCAATCCTACTATTTATGTATAAAAAACAGACATTTCAATTGCAGTATTAGCCACAAATGAGCAAGAGAGAGACTTCTATGGTCTGACACGGCTAGAGTAGAATGCACAATAATCAGTGACTACGGAAAATGAAGGTAAGTGAAAAGATGAAACAAATGCTTACTTAGGTAAAAATGCAAGTTACCCACTGTGTTGCCATTGTCAAATGAGTTGGACAAATGTAAGTTACCCACTGTGTTGCCATTGTCAAATGAGTTGGACAAATGTAAGTTAACCACTGTGTTGCCATTGTCAAATGAGTTGGACAAATGTAAGTTACCCACTGTGTTGCCATTGTCAAATGAGTTGGACAAATGTAAGTTACCCACTGTGTTGCCATTGTCAAATGAGTTGGACAAATGTAAGTTACCCACTGTGTTGCCATTGTCAAATGAGTTGGACAAATGTAAGTTACCCACTGTGTTGCCATTGTCAAATGAGTTGGACAAATGTAAGTTACCCACTGTGTTGCCATTGTCAAATGAGTTGGACAAATGTAAGTTACCCACTGTGTTGCCATTGTCAAATGAGTTGGACAAATGTAAGTTACCCACTGTGTTGCCATTGTCAAATGAGTTGGACAAATCTAAGTTACCCACTGTGTTGCCATTGTCAAATGAGTTGGACAAATCTAAGTTACCCACTGTGTTGCCATTGTCAAATGAGTTGGACAAATCTAAGTTACCCACTGTGTTGCCATTGTCAAATGAGTTGGACAAATCTAAGTAACACGTATTTATGTAAGTAGGGTTGGAAGGAGGGAGGGAGGGAAGGACACAGAAAGAGAACCATACTGCAGAAACTATTATTATTATTAGCAAGGAAAGTAATTAATTTTAAAAAACTAGTTTGCCCCAAAGACACAAATCAAAAGAGACACCAATACCAAGTTTTGTTTCATTTCTGCTGAGATTCACAGTCTTGCATGATGGTTTTATTACCTTCTGGTAGAACATTCCACATGTTAAGAATCGCCATTATATTATCAATATCACTGTCTATTCCTTGTGCAACCCCGGGATACTAAAAACAAAATGATAAGACATCAGCAATGTGAAAACAAGAAATATTGAGTTACACCTTTAACTAAACTTCCATATGAACAGAATATGTAAATGAATTCACCTGAATTTTAAGAGCTACCTCTCTCCCATCATGCAAAGTTGCATGGTGTACCTGTCCTATAGATGCAGCAGCGAATGGCTTACTCTCAAACGATTTCACTTTACTTCTCCAGTCATCTCCTAATTCTCTTTGTAAAACTTTCTGTTTAAGTAAAAAAAAAAAAAATCAAACTCTAATCCTCAGAAGCACCCACCAAAGAGACTTCAGATAATCTCAGAAAAGTTAATCTCTTAAATTAGGAAATGTATATTTCACTCACCTCCATCTGCCAAATTGGCATGAAATCAGCACTCTGTCGAACTCGCTCAAATACAGACTGAAGTTGAGGGCTTATCATTGAATTATCTGAAATAGTATGGATTTAATTTAAAACACACAACTCGCTAGACAATACAGGTGCTAATAAACCTAGAAAAGTAATAATCAACATCAATTACTAACGAAAGAGTACATTTGTTAATTCTTTTCAGTAAGTTAGCAAGATGGCTTGCAACTTTGCAAAATACTTAGCTTTTACTTTGTTCTAGACTTGATAGCCACGTTTGACTGATGATATGCTGTGTAGGATTCACTATTTCATGGAGATGGTCAACATAGTGATTTTCTAATATAGTGTACGTATTCAATAACTATTTTTCATTTAGTATCTAAAGTATATGTGATTCAAAAATGTTAAAACAAATCTAAATAATCTGGTCAATGCATTCTAATGAGCGTGTATCATTTTGAAAAACTTTTCCTCATCTAGTATGATAATGGAATGACCTAAATTGTGCATGTGTCGATTGTACAAGTCTAGATTGGACAAAAACCAAAGTGTTTTGCAAAGATGCAAATTATTTTGCTAACTGACTGTTTGAACAATTCCCAGTAAATTTTCTATACCTTGGATGCTCAATAACTGTCCTAGTTTCAATGCTGCACCCCTCACTTTGCACAAAGTATTTACAATTCTCTCAGCATTGGCTTCTGTTAGAAATGCACTTTTATCAAACATCTTTGAATCTAAAATAAAAACAAAATAAACAAGCCATGCATGGCACAGTCCCCGTTAGTTATCAAATTTAAGATACAGTGGCCCCTCGCTAAGTCGCGGGTGTTGGGATCCAAGCAAAAACCGCGACTTATTGAGGGCCGCGACTTACCGAGGGACGTCGTGAAAGAGGGAGGTCGTGCATTGAAAAACATATAAAAAGCACATATAAACCCTCGGTTTAGTTAATTGATGTATCATCACATGTGTCAGGCAGTATTCGAATAAAATCATGATTATGTTTGCTGTAAACATTGCGTTGATTATTTTGTTTGTGTCTGATATTATGTGGGCCGCTTGCTGTTGCTTGCGACTTCGACGGTAACAGCTTCCAAAATAAACCAGTTTCATCGCAATTATAAACATGTCCGTCAAAATAATCACCTTCATAGATAATTTCTCTCAGTTTTTCGGGAAAAGTTCCGACAGCGTCAATGTTCCCAGATCGAGCTTCGCCTTGGATTGAGACTGCGTGTGTCGATAGCGTGTCTTCTTTGCCATCGCAAGAACCACCCTGAACTGGCCTTAAATTCAAAG